GGGAGGGGGAAAGAGAAAGAACGAGACAGAGAGAACGAGAGAGGGAGAGGGAGAGAGGGAGGGAGAGAGAAAGAGAAAGAATGAGAGGGAGGGAGGGACAATGAGAGAGTGAAAGAAAAGAGAAAGGGAGGGGGAGAGTGGGCGCGCTCCCGGCGTGCTCCGCGAGCGGCGCCTGCGCAGAGCGTTGGCCTCGGCGGCGGCGGCGGCGGCGGCAAGCGGCGGGCCCGCCGGGCGCAGGCGCGCGCGCGATGCCCCGCGACGAGATGGCGGCTTCGCTGATCCAGCGAGTGGCCCGGCAGGCGCGGGCGACCTTCGGGTCCGGGTCTGGCGAAGCTCCGGCCGAGTTGCAGCGGCTGCGGGAGCTGCTGAGCCAAGTCAGCGCCGAAGACCTGGGCCTGCTGCAGCCGCGGGGTCCTTCCGCCGTGCCGGGCCCGAGCCAGCCGCCCGTCAGCTACATGCACATCTGCGAGACGGCGCGCTTCAGCATGGGCGTCTTCGTGCTCCGCGCCGGCGCCTGCATCCCGCTGCACGACCACCCGGGCATGCAGGGGCTGCTCAAGGTGCTCTACGGCACGCTGCGCATCGCCTGCCTCGACGCCGCCGAGGAGCCCGAGGAGCAGCCGGACGCCGCCGCCTCCGGGGCCGCCGCCGCCGCCGCCGCCGCCGCCTCCTCCTCCTGCTCGCCCCGTCCCCGCCGCCTGCGCGCCCTGCTCCGCTCGCACCGGCTCTACACGGCCGCCGCGCCGCCCTGCCTGCTCTCCCCGCAGCGGGACAACCTGCACCAGATCGCCGCCGAGGAGGCCGCCGGCCCCGCCGCTTTCCTCGACATCCTGGCGCCTCCCTACGACCCGGCGCGGGGACGCGACTGCCACTACTACCGGCTGGCCGACGGGCAGAGCCTCCCGCCGCCGCCCGCCCAGCCCGTCCCGCCCAGCGCCCTCTGGCTGCTGGAGACGCCGCAGGCGCCCGACTTCTGGTGCGGCGGGGAGCCTTACCCGGGCCCGCGGGTCTGGCCCTGAGAGGAGGCCCCCCCCCGGCGCCCGCCCGCCTCGCCCGCCCGACTTGGAAGAGGCCCGCCTGGAACTTCTCCGCTGGGTTCGACGCCGGGTCTTCCCTCCCCCCCCCCCCCCCCCCCTCTCGGGGGGGGGGGGGGGGGGGCAAAAACAGCGTTTCTGACATCACGGACTGACAAAAAAAAAAAAAACACCTCCTTTTTCTTTTCTTTTTTTTTAATTTTTCTTTTTTTAAACTCCCCGTCGAGTTTAATTTTGCACAGAAAGTTTTATTAAAAGGAGAGAAAGAGAGCCTCGCTCCGGTGGTGTCTTCCTTCCGTTTGCTGGGTGCTGAATCCTTTGGGGTTTGGGTGGGGGGCTGGGGGTCCGTTTGGCCCCGGGGGAAACTAGCTTGAGCAGGGGGGTGGACTAGAAGACCTCCCAAGGTCCCTTCCGGCTCTTTTCTGATTGATGGATTGAGGTTCTGCCATCTTAAACACTCAAAAAGATTCTATGAAAAGGAGAGGGAGAGAGCCTCACTTCCTTTGCTGGGTTCTGAATCCTTTTTGGTTTTGTTTTGCTTTGGGGAGTGGGGGGGCGTTTGGCCCCGGGGAAACTCTTAGCGTGAGCAGAGGGATGGACTAGAAGACCTCCCAAGGTCCCTTCCGGCTTCGTTCTGATTATATTGCATATTAGTCTGAATTGGCCTAAGGTCTCCAGCTTGAGAGGGGGCTGGACTAGAAGACCTCCAGGGTCCCTTGCAGCTCCATTCTGATTATATTATCAGGGCCTGTTTCCTGGGGGATCAAAGGCTAAGGCTGAACCCCCAAGCAAGATGCTGCCTGCCATCCAGGCTGGGTTGAAGGAAGCCGGCTTCCCTCCTGCATCCAGACCTCCTTCCCCCTTTTCTACTGGTAGGTAGGGATTATATACAGTAGCTTAGGCTGAATGGATTCAGCCAATGGGTCTCATGACTAATAGAATAGAATTAGAATAGAACATGGAATAGAATTCTTTTATTGGCAATTGTAATTGGACACAAGGAATTTGCCTTGGTGCAAATGCTCTCAGTGGACATAAAAGATACCTTCGTCAAGAGTCAAGAATATTGAGGTGCAACACTTAAAGATAGTCATAGGGTACAATCAGTAATCAAATTATACTAGGAAACAGTCAATATATATCATTAGGATACAAGTGACAAAGTTACAGTCACACAGTCACAAGTGGGAGGGGATGGGTGATAAGGAGTGATGAGAAGATTAATAGTAATGCAGACTTTGTAAATAGTTGGACAGTGTTGAGGGAATTATTTGTTTAGCAGATCGATAGTGTTTGGGGAAAAAATGTCCTTGTGTCAAGTTGTTCTGGTGTACAGTGCTCTATAGCGTTGCTTTGAGGGAAGGAGTTGAAACAGTTCATGTCGGGGATGTGAGGGGTCTGTAAATATTTTCACAGCCCTCTTTTTGACTCATGCAGGATGCAGGTCCTCTGTGGAAGGCAGGTTGGTAGCCATTGTTTTTTTCTGCAGTTCTAACTCCGTGTCTGTCCTGTTGGGTTGCAGAACCAAACCAGAGAGTTATAGAGGTGCAGATGTCAGACTCAATCATTCCTCTGTAGAACTGGATCAGAAGCTCCTTATTTCAACTGGGGAAAGTCAAAATAATTTGGGGGCCATGCTACATTAGCATAACGGGTCTGTTCCAGATCAGCATTTGCCTGAAGGCCACAAGACCAGCTCAGGTAACCTTTCCATAGTCTTAGTGTCTAGTTTGTTTCTGCCACTAAGAGGCACACTGGGCCAGGTAGAAAAGAAAAAACACCCTGAAAATGTGTATGTGTGTGCTTGTTAATTGAGGTGTTAAACCTGAAAGATGTTTCACACATGAAAAGGGTATTTTTTTCCCCCCGCTACAGAAAAATGATAGCCATGCAGGTGTCTCTTACTGAGTGGCAAGAATAATTCAGCCTTTTAATTTTCTGTGCCATCCTGGAATTGTGTCTACTTTTTTGTTCCACGCTGTCATTTTTATTTGTTGGCACCATGAAGGAGAACAACAGACGAGCCCAGGCCCAAATATCCGTCGAAGCTTTGCTGAACAGAATTGAGATGTTGCTCGGCTTATAGCGAGATCCTAGTTTGAAGCATCTTCGTCCCTTCCACGTTCTCTAACCAATAAGATACACATTTCCTGCACTGGAAACTACTCATTACTACTCATTAGTGAATGCACGTGTTGTATTAAGCAGTGCCTGAGAACAAGCACCTTACCACCTAGTCTGATTCCCATAAAACTGCAGGTTTGCTTACAGCACATTCATGTCATTTTGTTACATCAAATGGTGCCCAAGGATGATGCCAACCTGCTCAATCAAACCACTGGCACCGGTGGGAAATCCCACTGGGGTGAGTTGCCAAAACCATAGACTTTCTGCAAAAGTACTAGGCATAGGCAAAATGTGGAAGTGCGTGTTTTCTCTTTGCAAAGATTGTGTGTGTGTGTGGGGGGGGGGGGTGTTAGGTGTATTCGGGTCTTTTCCCGTGTAAGATTAAGAGTATCTTGGCAACGTTTCGGCGAGGTCCCACTCGCCATCCTCAGGCTGGTGCTTTCGGCTTTGTGCCAGTGCAAGCAGTGTGTGATCGGAGCTGCCGTCTCTCTCTCTTTATAACTAGTATATATAGAGAGACGGCTCTGATCACACACTGCTTGCACTGGCACGAAGCCGAAAGCATCAGCCTGAGGATGGCGAGTGGGACCTTGCCGAAACGTCGCCAAGATACTCTTAATCTTACACGGGAAAAGACCCGAACACACCTAGACCTACATACCTGTACCCGTGAAAATCTACGAATATATCTATATCTCTATATCTATATCTATATCTATATCTATGTCTATCTATCTATCTATCTATCTATCTATCTATCTATCTATCTATCTATCATCTATAAAATCCAAACCATCATAAACTCAATCAGAATAGAGCCGGATGGGACCTTAGAGGTCTTCTAGTCCAGCCCCCTGGAAGGATGCCATTTTTGCTCCCCCATATAAAATGTTCCAAGTCTGGATACGTCTACTTCAAACCTTGAGGGGGTTCCAGGGTGTGACCAGGGTTTTTGTGTAGCGCCTGTTAAATCTGATGAGCCTCGCTGAGCATCGGCCTTCCTGAGTGGAAGGGTGGGTTAGAACAGGCTCCGTAGAAACCCACCCTTCTGAGGAACTGGCGTGGCTGAAGCCTCAAAGCATTTCCAGCTGAATACCACAGGACTCAAAATTTGTTGCTTCTTGTTTATTTCAAATTGTTTATATTTGCCTAAATCCAGCACAGGGATTGCCCAAAAAAACCAAAACCAAAAAATAGTGCAAAAACAGTTTAAATACTAGAAAGACAAATTGAAAAGAGCAAGTTAAAATTACGTGCCTCGTGTTTCCCCCCCAGAATAAAAAGTGTCCCAGGTTCTTAAAAACCAGGAAAGGGCAGCGCCCCCCCCCCCAGCCTTTTGGGCACCAGGGAACGGTTCCTGGGAATGTGCTTTTGTGGGTGCTACCTGCACCCCCATAGATAACAGGTAATCAGAATTGAAAGGGACCTTATAGGTCATCTAGTCCAACCCCCCACCCAAGCAGGAGACCGTACACCACTTCTGGAAAATGGCAGTCCAGTCTCTTCTTGAAAGTCTCAAGTGATGGCGCTCCCACAACTTCCGAAAGCAACTTCTGTTCCATGGGTTGATTGTTCTCACTGTCAGACAGTTCCTCCTTATTTCTAGATTGAATCTATCCTTTCCATCCACTATTCATTGTCTGGCCTTCAGGTGCTTTGGAAAGTAGCTTGATCCCCTCCTCTATAGTAGCCCCTCAAATATTGGAAGATGCTCTCCTGTCTCCCCTGGTCCTTCTTTTCCCTAGACTAGCCAAGCCCAGTTCCTGCAACTGTTCTTCATATATTTTAGCCTCCAGTCCCCTCATCATCCTGGTTGCTCTTCTCTGCACTTTTTCTAGAGTCTCACCCTCTTTTTTATAGTGTGCTGACCAAAACTGGATGCAGTGCTCTAGGTGGATGGAGCTTTGCTTGTTTGTGTCATCTGGTTTCTGGCCCTGCACCAATACATGGACAGGGGTGGATTGGGTTGGGGACCCTTGCTGGTCTAATTTCTTAAGTAAGCGTAACATTTGCTATAGCCCAGGAGTCTCCAAACTTGGCAACTTTAAAGCCTTGTGGACTTCAACTCCCAGAATTCTCCAGCCAGCTATGCCGGTCAATCCGGATCTCTTGCTGACTATGTATGGAGGTACAATCCTATACTCTTCTTGACACCTGCTGCCTTTAAGGGTGTGTTGTCAGCATTTTGGTTTCACCTAGCAACCCCAGCATTTCCTAGTGGCCTCCCATCCAAAGCACCTAGAAGAGAACGACAAAATCCTGGAAATGACATTGGGGTGCTGAATCCTTGGTGTCACAAGGCCAGTGGCTCTTGGAAATCCTTGGTTTTTACAAAACTACGTCGAAAGGCTCATCATTTCCTCCTCCCCTTTCCTCACAGACCCAATTTTCAAATCTGGATGCTGCTCAGAATCCATTACTGAGGCAGCGCAGTCTCATGCTCAAGTTTGAAGTCCTAATTTTCCCCCAAACGTAATTTTCATTTAAAAAATAAAATAAAAAGGACTTGCCCGTCCGTTTTATGAAGAAGCCACTCTCCCCCCACACCCCACACCCCACATGTGGCTTTGTTTATTTCCAGCTTGCCTGCTTCTAAAATGAGCTTGCCGGCAGTCATGGAACCGCAGTGAGTCAAGCGAGCACCGGGTCTATTTATTGCAATTGGGGGAAATCCTTTATTCTCAGAGCGAGTGTAACTGCCGTAGATCAAGAAACTCGATCTGTCCTTGAGGTAGTTCTCCTTTCCCTCTGGTATCCTCGGAGAGGCCTTCGCCTGGCGCTTGGCCAGTTCAGCTTGGCCACGGAGTCTTTCCTGCCACACTGGCCACGGGGTCTTCCTTCCTAAGTCAGCCTTCCCCAAACTGTCTAACGTGGCCTCCCCTCCATTCCTAAGAGGTCTGTAAGGGGGCACACCAGCATGCCTACCATCCCTGTCCTACTGTTCCCATCAATTCGTCCTCCTTTATTATGTACACTGCTCAAAAAAATAAAGGGAACACTTAAACAACACAATGTAACTCCAAGTCAATCACGCTTCTGTGAAATCAAACTGTCCACTTAGGTAACAACACTGACTGACAATCAATTTC